GAACACCAAAGCACTATCGTCTTCAATCCTGAGATAAGAAAACTTTGCCAGAATTATATTAATCTTTTCCCCATCCATTCGTTGTAAATATTACGTTGGACTGTTGCCAAAACTGTTAAGACAGTAGAATTTTCGAAAATTCTACTAACTACTGATTTACTTTATCAATAATGATATAGGACAGTAAAAAAAGTAATTGAATAGAACGAATACTGAAAGATGCAAAGTAACAATAAATCAGATCTGCTACTTGTCTTTTTATTCGTTACGGTACTGTCTTGACAGTTTTGGCAACAGTCCAACGTAATATTTACAACGAATGGATGGGGAAAAGATTAATATAATTCTGGCAAAGTTTTCTTATCTCAGGATTGAAGACGATAGTGCTTTGGTGTTCTCTGAGCTTTGATATTTTGCCGTGTAGGTCTCATCACTAAGCTTGGGGATATCTTCAGCACTGACTTCATAAAGAATTGAAGCTTATCCAACTATTACACGAATGTTTTGGCAGTGTTTTTATTGACCTTGGATGTTGTCCAATTGTAAGTTGGGGAAGAAAATTTTTCTCGTTAATACGCTGACCTTAACCTTAAATTTCCTTAAGTCATGTCATTAGATATTCTTTGTTGAAATCAAATGGTGCCGTTTGTTGGTATCACACTGTGCATCATAATTCATTTTTCCGGTCAATTCGCCTTTGGTTGATGGACGACTGTTTTCTTCCTAAGTGGATTGTAGATTGGGTCTATATCCACAAGCTTGTTGATCGATATTTCATTTGAATGCCATGCTTCTAGAAATTCCCTGCTCTTTGGAGCATTTCCACATTCTCCCAGAAGAATTTGTGACTGCGACTGTCTGCACGCATTGAAACCAAGAGGGCTGCGCTATGTCGCTTTACTGCTAGTTGATGTTCACGAACGATTTGAGCAGTCTGACGGCTACTTTGGCCAACACAATGCTGTGAACAACCTTTGCAATTGATTTTGTAGATTATATTTGTCCTTTCTTCTTTTGCAAATGGATCCTTTGCTTTGCACAACATGCTGTGTAATGAATTTGTTGCTTTGTGTACTACTCTGATTCCGAAAGGATGAGGCCAATCGGTTGACTATTTCTGAGATATCTTTGAGGTAGAGTAGTGTAACGCGCCTATCGATTTAAGGCAGATGCCCTATCTTCTATTCTGGGAATAAACACTTTCTGATAAAGTCGGGTAGATAATCATTGGCTTTGAACACTGTGTACAAGTATTTTTCTTCGGCTTTCCGTAGTGTTTCAGTACTGTAATATGTTTTGGCTCCTGCTAATAATGTTTATACACAACATTTCTCATGGACTGTAGGATAATTGTTGTTATAGTTCAACACTTGATCTGTATATGTGATTTTCCTGTACACTTGAGTTTGTAAAGTTCCATTGTGTGTGCTGCTGATGAGGATATCTAGGGACGAAATTTTTTTGTTGGCTTCTTCCTTCTTTGTGAAGTGAATTTCTTCAAATATTTGGTTGGTTAGTTTGAACGTGTTTTCTATTTCATCATCGTTGAGAATTACGAGTGTTTCGTCAGCGTACCGTATCCAAATTTTTGGCTTGATGAGAGAGATGACTATTGATTCGAGCCTCTGCATAACAGCTTCAGCAATCAGTCCTGATATTGGAGATCCCATATGTGTCCCTTTTGTTTGTTTGTAAATCTACCCATTGAATTGAAAATAGGTCGTGAGACATAGCTAAATCAATCCCACTAGGTTTGGAACTGTGATCTTCGTATGAGTAGGAAACGTTTGGTCTTTCTTACGAAGAACATTCATCTTCTTCACTGAATTTTTATCGATTCAGGTGATAAGTGAGGTCGCATCAAAGATTTCATCGTTTCTTTACTGTTTATCCGTAAATCTTTCATTTTTTTTGAGAAATTCAATTGTTAAATTGACTGAGTGTTCACTTCCATTGACGGGATGCTTCAGTTTTCTGCGTAATTCTTTCGATAAGTTGAATGGAGGTGTTCCAGGTAAGTTATGATATACCGTCGTTGGATGAGAGTTCAGAGTGGCCAGACCAAGACGTTGGACCTGTTCATGAAGTCCCTGACTGTTGGTCTGAGTCATATGAGGTGATATAGACTACCTTGATGGAATCCTCGAGACGGTAGAAATCAGTGGTTGAGAATTCATGATGAGATGTCTGAAAATCGGTCACAATAGCACAGATAGATTCACTCTTGGACGTCTTCTAAAACTTGAATATTTACACTAACCGTTATCTTCAACTTCTCTTATACAACTTTATCTATTTTGATATCACTGTTTTTCTATCCGCTTGTTCTTTGTGTACTACTGTGAATTGTGACAACTTGAGCCGATGCATCTTTGTGCGAGATTCTACGTTGATTTTATCTCTGTCTGTCTGTTGGCAAATCACCAACTTTAGTCCCTTTGGCTAAGCTACTAGAATCGACCGAATTTCACGCAAGTATCTAGATATCTTTAGCTTCCATAAAATATGAATGGCTGATAAACAAGTATACAAATAGTCAAGGGGTTACTGTGTGGTTTTACTCTACTGCGTTGAGATTAGTTGTCTAGGTTTTACCCGGATACTCTGGTGTGGTAAAATTTGTGATCATTTGACATTGAGTTGAGTGTTTTTAATGCTTAACTACAATTCTGAACTACAATAAAAAACTTGATAGTGTTGCCTAGGGTTATGCGGTGAGATCGATTGAAATTATCTCTGAAAAGTATACGAACTGGTCAGCAATGAGTAACTGATATAGCCATCTAGTTTCTAGTTCTCACTCCTCACTGATCGACGTCTGTTGACCTGGTTTTGCAATTTGGCCAGTAAGCAAAGTGATGCGACACTCTTGTGCACTGTCAGTTGGCAGCAAGGCTTTAACTCGCAGCATCTAACGCCTGTAAAATGTGAATTATGTTATGTCAGACATTGCTTACGGTTAGAAACGTTATCCAGTGCAATCTGACCTCGTTCTGATAATTTTACTCCTCATCAGAATTTGAGGAGAACCCAGAATCTCATTTTCTCGATGTCTTATTTAAACGGAAACCAAAAGGCTCTCCTCAGAGATTGATTTATAGGAAGCCAACGTGGAGAGGAAAATAGTTGAATTTCCATAGCTGGGTGTCTATCAACAGAAAAAGGAATTTGATTCATTCTTCGTTTTCAAGAATCAGAAGAATCTGTACGAGTGATGCTATCGACGATGAATTAGACAAACTACGGAAAATTCTCATAGAAAATGGAAACCCATCTGGATTTATTGGCAAAAACTTTAAATTATAACAATACAGAAAAAGTATTCACAACTCCAAAGAAGACTTCGTTTACGAATTTTGGTTTCAAAGGTGATACGGCAGCAGTGATCCTGAAGAATCAGTTGTCCAAACCACTGAAGAAGACATTTCTCTCTGCAAAGCTTCTCTAATCAGCAATCGGTTCCGGGATGCGCTAAAGAAAAGTTCTCACTTTGGAAAACTTTAATGTGTCTACTAATTTACTTGCTTCATTAGAGTCCTCCTTCAGTATCATCTACAGAGTTAAAAGAAATAATTCAAAAGGAGTACGCTTTCTACAGTTGTGCATAACAGAAGCATTGGCAGTTCACCAATTCAAACTTGATCTCTACGTTCAATCTTTTTGCTTTTACATTTTTTAAAGTTTCCTTACAATTTTAGTTAGCTTACTAATATCACCTCCATTAGGACTCTTGTTGCTTTCTTCACCTTTTTCGCATCCATCAAGTGGACACTCAGTCTTGGCATCTCACACCTACAAACAATTTTACTCTTGTCTAACTCCTTACCTTTCTCACTATTTCCATTGTCTAAACGATTATTACGCAGTTTCTTTCGTTTCTTGGTTTCAGTTTTTTAGCACTAGCCTAATGATGCAATTATACCCTGTTGTTTAATAATAATAATAATAATAATAATCGGCTGTTTTGCGTTTGTGATAGGCATAAAAATGCAATGGTACAGCTTTAGAAGGTGACACTATCGAGAAAGAGGAATTTTCTCCGCTAAATTACCACTTCTTTTCTTTGATAACTTCACATCGAAAACCCTGTTAGGTATGCAAATTGAAGCAACGCAGAATACGATATGATAACATATCGATACAAATTATCAAACCTAACACCGGTGCAGCAAATTATATAAATTTAAAAAAGCCACAAGATAAGTAGAAGAGACAATGAAAGGAAATAAGAATAAAGTTTAACACTTAAGTGAACATAGACTACTTACTAATGTATCTATACGGGTTGGATTGATTACAAAACTTGGCTCATGAAACTTTGGTTACCTAGTGTGCTTAAAGGTTTGAAAACTTATGATGCAATTCTCGGATAAGTGAAGAGTTACAGCTTGCAGTTTCCTGTTACTGGTTGAAACGAAATAACCGATCACTAGTAGACTCCTGTGTGATGCCTCAATATTGTCAGTAGTTTCAGTTTGACACTGATAATGAATTATAACTAACAGTTGAATCCTGGATATGCAAGTTTGATCCCACTTAGAACTCAACAGTAACATTATTGCCACTGAGATTCAAGTCTAACACTATTTCTTCTAATGAAAAAGTGTTAACCACTAGGTCAGTTAATCACGACAGACACTCCGGTTTACCTTGATATTAGAGCCTATCAGTATCTCAACGGGAATAATATCACTCACTAACTAACTGGTGATCTCCAAATACGATAGAATTTGTGTTATTGGTTTCATTGCTAGTCACAATCTAAATGGAGATTGTTTAAACTTAAAAAGTTTAGACGTATTCAAGGGGAATATCTTTCATTTTCATCTATTGAAACGTTTGTTTCATGAATGTTAACTTATGACTTGAAATCATTTTAAAATCTCACGAATAACTAAGTTTGATATCATTATTACAACACTACTTTACGGTATATTTCGTTTCCTAAACAATTTTATTCCCTTTTATCTATAAGATTTCCTTTTTTTCCCTTCTTAAAGATCCATCTTTCAAAAATGCTTTGAAAAAATTAGAACTATGTCCATTGCCTACACTTGGTTGGTGTGTAATTGATGAATTTGAAATGTCTAAATGTCAACGTATGTCAAGTGCATTCTCTGCAAAACGTATTCAACCTGATATGTATTGTCTACAGGCTAATTCTACTATCGATTGTATGAGATTAATTAAAGATGGTTATGCTGATATGGTTACATTAGAGGCTGGAGATTTGTATATTGCTGGAAAATATTTTGACTTAGTTCCAATTGTTGCCGAGTAAGTTTTCATCTTTACATAAAATTCAGATTAGTTTTAATTTTGATGGATTGTTTTATCTAGAATTATCATTATTTCTCAAAAATCTACAGCAAATTCAGGAATATATCAAGTTAAACTGTCATGAGAGGAGATTTAACCTGTCTCTGACTTTCAACGCTACGCATCATCATTGAACAGAGTATAGAATGACAGTCAACTGGATCTCTACCTCAACTTCATCGACTTTGAAGACGCCTTCGACAGCGTCAACCGAAAAGTAATTTGGCAGTTGCTTCAACACTACGGAGTGCCACAAATCTTTATCAACGTCTTTCAGCAGCTGTATGAAGACGCCACATACCAAGTGATTTACAATGGAAAGCTCAGTGACATCTTTGAAGACAAGGCTGCCGCCTACTGTCACTGATGATCTTCGTGATTGTGGTGGACTAGATCATGCAGCAAACTGTGAGAGACGAGAAGAGGGGCATAAGCTGGACCGATAAAAAGAGCCCAGAAGATCTAGATTTCACAGATGATTTATGTGTAATGTCTCATAAACTAGAAGATCTAAAAGCAAAACTAACAAGTTGACAGAAGACGCGACGCAGCGAAGACGCCACTTCCTTCAGGTGGACATAGAGAAGACACAGGTGATGAAGATACACAACCAACAACAGCATCAACAACAAGCTCCAATCACCATCAACGGAAGAAACTTAAAGGAAGTAGCCCATTTCACCTACCTGGCTAGGTAGCATCATTTCAACTACAAGTAGCACAGACGAGGATGTCAAAACCAGGATCGCAAAGACAGCAAGACAAGCCTGCTTTCATTAATCTGAAATCACTGTGGAGATCTACTGCACTCAGCATAAAGCGTGAACAACATCCGGATTTTCAACACCAATGTGAAGTCACTGCTTCTACATGGTTGAGAAACTTGGCGTGTCACGAAAACCACTTCCAACAAACTACAGACATTCATCATCAACAGCTGTCACCTACACTCACTCGATACTGAAGATCAGATAGCCAGAATAATAAGAATAAGCAACAAGGAAGTCACTCTGTAAATAAAAACCAACCAAGAACCTATTACCCAACAAATATGCAGAAGAAAGTGGAGTTTGAGATGGGTTGGGCATACACTGGGAAGGTTGACTGGAGACATCACGTGCCAGGCCAGGTTGTCGAGTGGAATTTAAAGGGGAAACGACGAGTTGGGCGTCCGAGATGAGGGTGACATGGAGGAGATCATGTGAGGAAGAAATGAAAGGATGTGGGCAGTAGTGGAGCGAGGTTGAGAATACTGCAGAGAAGAGAGTGGAATGGAGGTGTGCTACTGAATCCCTATGTTGCACTAGGAACTCAGGGGGAAAATAATAATAGTAATCATTCTCAAGACCAACGTCTTATTTTAAGATCACTGAGTAATATTTTCATCATCGAAGTTGCTTTGAATAGATTCCTTCCACTTTACCTGTTTTCGATTGTGAGTGGTTGCAGCAAGCACCGAGTTAAAGTTATTGAAGATTTGATTAGTGTGTCCTGTATTTTTTTTTCAGTAGCATGTGATATATTTCTCTCTTTACAACCCATTTCTACTTTCGAAACTAAAGCTGACTATTGGAATTATTTCAAGTCTACCAAAAGTCACTATCTCATTCTAAACTTTCCAGCCTTTATTTTCTGTACATACTTAGACAGCAAGTTTAAATAGTAATGATGGATAGTGGCTAGAGTAGGGGATATCGTCTTAGTCGAAACTCGTCAGCTGAATGTACTTGACTGCCATAATTGAAGCCCTAGGACTGAATGGGTTGAGATTTATTTCATATGATTGTAACGCGTATATCGTTACTTAGCTGTTGTCTAGTTAAGCTATGAGTAAAGATATTCGTATGAAGTTAAAGTTACTAAAATCATTCCAATAGTAGTTAAAGGTTAGTTAGTGTTAGACAATTGTTGTTCACTTTAAAATGCACACTTGAATCTTAGGCAGATGTGCATCTGTCCCAAGACGGATGACATAACCATTTATAAGGAGTAAAAAGCGGGGGAATTATTTGAATTGTTATTTTTTAAAAACAATCTTGTTTATCAAAAACGCCTGTTGATTTTATTATATACGTCATAGAGACATCATCATGATATCTAGTGTAATCTCGTCTACAGATGATCATCAATAGGGAAAATGATCTCAAGCTAATAACTTCATCTTGGTTATTCGTCCTTTTTTCAGGTCTAAGTATCAATAGATAATTATGTTTGAAATTCTGAGTAATAAGGGTTATGGATATCCCTTTCATGCATTACCGAGTAACAGTTCAAATTGTCACGTAGCGTATAAAAACATCAAGCTATAATTCACCAAGGTGTAAGGTAAAGAAAAATAAATAAGGAGTAAGGGGAAATGAAAGAATGGTGAAACTCTGTAAGACGATCAAAATGAAGATTATATTTGGATGACCATCATTCAGAGACTTCATGGATTGATGCCACTTTTTAGTTTGACCATTTGTAACCTTTTTCCATTCTGAACCTACTTCAGCTAACATTGTACGATAAGGTAGAGGGTGACTAGGTTTGCGTATTGCATGCTTCCAGCTACTTCAGTTGATCAAGGTTCACAACCTCATCAAGTGAATTTCCTCTTCCGCGCATAAATTTTCTCCTAACTTCTATATTATTGATGTAGTAATACAACGACACACTGTCTGCTGCGAAGATGATAGTAATCGGACACCTAAAGCCTCCTCTTATCTTCTACCTTCAGGGACCATGTTTCACAGCCACATGTTGGGACACAGAACTGAAGTGCAATACGGGCAACCATTAATACGCAGTCGAATATCAATCATATCAGCGGCATAAATGATTCACTGCGGTGGAGACCAATCGAGGCTTTTATATTCGTCCACATATTTCGACGATCAGTCACCCATCAGGACGAATCCGACTTCTTTTCATGAATGAACACAAACTAATGACTACTGGTTTGGATTTTCAAAACCTCAGGCAGTGATATTTGGTAGTGAAGTCAAATATGTCTATTTCACCCTATCACGTACTCATCAGCTTCCTATACATACACCATTGTGTGAATATTCTTACTAAAACTCAATGTTATAACCAGTTACTTCAAATGTAGAACTTATCCTTCGGGCTACTGGTGTTATTTGTTACATTGACTATATTTTTCTATTTTTAGACTTAATAAAGTGAATCCTTTGGAGTCTTTATGCATTTTTATCAATAATGTGTCTTTTATTTTAACGTTATAGAAACTCTGAAGGAGATTTATTATCCACAAGTGTACATCTTCCATCAGTTTTCTGTAGATATGAGGAGGATAACTTATTGGTGGTTTAGTGTCTCATCGCCAGGCTTGATGACATTGTCAACACTAACTTCATAAAGAAGGTTAACTTCTGTTATGAGTTCGAACACGTTAATGGTATATGTATATATTCGGAAACGAATATAAAACGCTCGCTTAGCTGACAGCTAACTTGGTACGCAAGAGACACTGGCTGCAACCCCGGGACGAATAGAGAGAAGACCGAAGCTGGCAGATGGGAGTGTATTACTCCGAGAATATAATATAACAACAATGAATCAATCCAAAACACGTGGATAAGTATACACATGAAAACTGACCTTGTCCGCAATTGAAGAAATTCGCATAGTAGTAGTAACAGTTAAACAATCAGCAAATTACATTACAATGGGGGCAGAAATAGACTATCAGTCATACCGTAAAAATAATGTGGGAACGACAAGTTAAAATGTTCGGCTCGACAACAATGTTTTATACAAAACTGGGGCATCACAACGATTTCGTCTAATTAAATAAAAGTATTTTGGGTCATTAATGTATATTCGACAGACGGACCTATGCTCTTCATGAAGACGACCGTTTTCGAGTAGATCTTTCCGTGACTGACTGACTGGATAATATGAAACATAACAGAAGCAGTAGGAAAAGTCTAGTGTAACTTTTGAATGAACTAGAATACTGAACTGCGTCTAATAATCAATCAGTTCCATGTATACAGAAAATACTTGGACGATGCCTTCATCATCTGCGAGGCGGTAATTGATCTTGATATCATTCTACTTAAATTCAATGAGAGTCATCCCTCTATTGCTTTTGTAATGAAAACTGGAAACAACTCGGAGTTTCATTTCTATGATATTTCATCGAAGAGGAGACCTGATGGCTCTTGTAAAAGATTGGTCTACAGGAAACCATCTTGGAATAGACAATATACTCATTTCTAAGGTTAGGTACCTTTGAATCGAAAAAAAGCAACCCAGTTTATTCGTTCCACATGAGAATGATAAGAATTTGCACAAATGATACAACAAACAATGAGTTAGGACACCTTCGAAAAGTACTTCTTCAGAACTGCTATCTACAAAGAGTCGTCGCTAACCCATGTAACCAAAATAGCGACAAGAATGAGTTTTTACTTCCTCGAGGAAGATCTTAATCATGAATGTCGATTTCAAAGAGGGTAACGCATTAGGACCACCGAAGATTCGCCATTCTAGGGGATTCAAAAAATATTCTGTGCTGCAGGACTGCCACTGGTCTTCTCCAGCCAATAGCTGATTCAAGGAGCTGGAAAGGACAAACTTCTGCTTTGGGTCATATCCATGATTGTTGATCGGTTTATCTGCTCGTGTGGAGCTAGGCGTGTAGGCCGTACAAAGCAAGGTTGTTGTTCCAAACGCAATTCCGACCATTATCCCGCATGGCTGTTCACAGTAGAATGAAAGTCAAGAAACAATTCTATCGTGAACTATTTGGTCAACTCTCGTCACGTCGTTTCCCCACAGTCTTCTTTCAAAATCCTATATACATTCAATTCAGACTGTTGGATTTGCTTATTTGATTTATAACACACAGTCATCTAGTATTATTTACTTCATGACCATATTTCGAGCATAACTTATCATTTCTCATTATCATATCAATGTAATCACACTCCACTTTCGACATCTGAGTTTTATAGTTCTATCACCTCATATGATTTGTTTTTATTGGTGGTAAAATTTTCCATATTTCTGGCATGAATGTTACATCATTTCTAGTATGTGTTGGGTGTCGAATTGATGAACAAAAACTCAGTAATCAACCTTCCTGTCTTCACCTAATTATATTGGACTTAAATACAGAACCTAATAGACTAAGCCCATCTGCGTCGAAGATATGTTGATGATATTCTGATTATTTGTGAAAGCTCAAGTCAGTATACTTCAATTCTAAACCGAATGAATGAAGTACAGAACAGCATATATTTGACATGCGTAGGAGAGGAAGGCGACTCCTTGCCATTCTTGGATGTATGAATTAGTCAGAGACAGAAGGAATTTATAAAACGATCTATCTACAGAAAACGTACATGGACAAAGCAATTTGAACTATCACAGCTTTTGTACAGTTCAGTAGAAGCTAGTGTTAGGTGCTTATTCCGTAGAATTCAACCAATATACACAGAGGATACTTTAGAAGATGAAAGAGGAACACTGACTGAAATACTGTTGGAAAATAACCATCCATCAAAATTTATTAGGTAGCATAAAATAATCAGAGCGCCAAAACCAGATCTTCAGTTTGTCTCAAATAGAATTGTCTTTATCAGTCTTCCGTACAAAGGTGATTCTCATAGTGCAATACATAAGCAAAGACAACACTGCTGTTAGGGCTTACTACACATCCAGGGTTCGAGTAACAGAAACCATCACAGAGTGAAGTGGTGACGTGCTACTGAAGCCCTATGTTCCACTAGGAACCCAAGGAACAAATAATAAAAATAACCAAGCCCGTTTATTCCCCCAAACCTTCACAGCATGTGAACGATTATGTCACATCCCATTGTTTCTACCAATTCAAATGTACATGTGGTGACACATACATAGGAAGAAATCATAGATTCAGGCAAGTAAGGGCCTCGGAACACATTCCGAAGTGGCTTCAGAAGTAAATTGAATCACCTGAACCCATAAACGTTGGTAGCAGGCGTCCAAGTTCTTTGATCGAGAAACATATTGTTGAGACAGGTCACAGGATTGATGTGGCTACTTCCTTTACACCTATTTACAAAACGTGTTGGGAACATATCCTTAAATTTGTTGAGTCCTTAGCCTTCAGGAAGTCTACACCACTTTTACGTGTTCATAAATAATTTGTTACCACATCAGATCTTCCTTGGTAAATTCAACTATGAAAACCAAGTCCGACGAACGACATTATTTTCTCTCTATTGATTTTCACTGTTATTGAGCCTAATTCAGTCTTCCTACTTGACCTCTTTTCACTTTCTTACCCCTTATCTTGATGGATTTTCATATAAATACCTACGACAAGTACGTGGATGATCAAATAGTTCTAAATGTGTTGCGCAAATACACATTACACGGTTCAGACAATTTATGTCTTCGATAACGCTATTCGAAGATGAAGATTATCTGAAAAATGTAATGTATTTGCACAATACATTTCGAACGTCTGATCACACACACATTTACTTGTCTCAAGTCAATTTATATATGATGATGAAAGGTCAAATATAGTGAATATGAAAAGGTTGTGACACTAGTCTTGGTAAGTACATGACATTTTTCAGATATTCTTCTCAAAATTTACTATAGGGACTAATTGTTTCAAATTTATATCTTCTTATTGTTTAAGTACAGTGGTTTTATCCCACCCAATTGTGTGGTTGTGTTAATGTATGTATTGCAGTAGCCTAGTTTTTTCTAGATTATTGATCTTATTTGGGTCTGTCATTCTGTAGACCAAACTAGCCAGTCGGGGTCAGTTAGAAAAGTCGAACATAGGAATTTAGCTAAATATAAAATGACAGACCTGAATAAGATCAATAATCTAGAAAAAATCTCAGCTACTGCAATGCACGCATTAACACACAATAGGTTGGGATAAAGCCACTGTACTTAAGTCCAATCTAAATAAGTGAAGACAGGAAGGTTGATTACTGAGTTTTTGTTCATCAATTCGGCACCCAACACATACTAGAAATGATGTAACATTCATGCCAGAAATATGGAAAATTTTACCACCAATAAAAACAAATCATATGAGGTGATAGAACTATAAAACTCAGATGTCGAAAGTGGAGTGTGATTACATTGATATGATAATGAGAAATGATAAGTTATGCTCGAAATATGGTCATGAAGTAAATAATACTAGATGACTGTGTGTTATAAATCAAATAAGCAAATGTAATATAGAATTAAATTCTACCCAAGTTTTTCACCTATATTGATCAAGTCCAACTGCTCTTAAAGAGTACAAATTCGTCTCATATATAGTTGATAGTTCAACAACTAAACCCCGAGATCTCCGTACAGAAGAAATACGTTTGTTCTTTTATTTTACCGTGGTTATAATGTTTCCTTAAGTTATTTTAACGCCTCAATGTTCATCTTACTATTAGTGACTGACTATATTTTACTTTTGATTTATGGTTCACTTTCCTATGTCTTAACATTTTAATTCCAATCTCCCACAGTTCTCATAATACTTGACTTTAATTATTGACTATAATTAGTGTCATTATTTTTCAACATGTTTATTTTTTTCAAAACCTTTTAGTCATTACTTTAATCGACTGCATCTTTTTGTTATTCACCCTATGATTACTCAATTGCTTTCTAACTCTGCAGTCAACTGACTAATTCACCGTAGACCATTCTATTCTGGTAAGCTTATGTTAGTCTACTGGCCAATGATAAACTCGTTTCTTTTGTGAATACTGAGATGATTATGAAGCTACTGAAAATGATCAGCCGAGGGAATTTTCTTCGCTGAATTACTTTGCATTTTTGTGTTTCTCCATGAAACTTTATCTCTTCATCTCGACTGTTTAATTTTATTCTCATTGTCAATATTTGTTTTGACTTGTTACTGGACCGCTGTATCCTGTAGAGTTTCCATAATGAGTTTGACGGACCGCTTTAATCTAGTGTAACGACAATTTTCGCAAATAATCTCTAGTTTACTGATGCCATTTTAGGTAGTACAGATAAACTCCTAGTAATTTTGTCGACTATCTTGGCCTTATTTCCGAAGCTTGCAAGTTTAAAATGCATCGGTTTATGCATATGTGTGGCTATGATTTTTTCTTTTCAAAATAAAGGAATTATGGTGATGGACCACTTTATTATGCAGTTGCTATAGTTGAGAAAGTGAATCCTGGTTTGTTAATCTCCAACTGGCGTCATCGTCGTACCTGTCACAGTGGTGTGGGTAAAGCAGCTGGATGGATTATTCCATTGAATACTGTACTGGATACAAGACAAGTGATTGTACTAGATGGACACTTAGTGCATGCATTCGGTAAGATATTTATTTCTCTTACCACAGTTGTCAGTTTATATTCTATTTGTTTTGTTTGGAAATAGTAATTTGAAGATAATCCCCGGTACAAATTAAGATCAGCTTGAGGAGATGGTAAAATTTAGGGAGTGGTGAACGATTTTTTCCCGTCAATGTGCTTGGTATATCATTTCCGTTTGTTCTAGATTTTCACTGGGATAGAATTTTGGACTTGTAGGTATCGTCTAATGCTATTTCAATTTTTTCCGCTTTGGTAAACAAGACATTGACTGTTAGTTGTATTACTTGATTTAAGAAATAGATATCTCCCTGCCTTCTTTGAGACATCAAATAGTTGTGTTTAGATGTCTTGAGGGAAATATGACGACATGGTGTTATATAGTCAACTTTTCACTACATGATCGCAGCTTGCAATTGATGATGAGGAGAAATTTATGTTTGACATTCATTTAGCACCTGTCAAATGTATGATGGTACTGAAGGACTGGCTTGCACCTACTTCCGATTAAAAATAGAGATTGAAATGGTGGGATATGTCGGCCACTTCATTTACCTGAAAAGTTGCATCAGCCCACAACAGGTGGTTGCCATAACATCTCAGCTCAAATACAGACAGCTGCCATCATGCATCATCTCTGGTGCCGACTGACGAGATTTCCGTCTACCTATTAAAGGATGAGTATACTGTTCTGCAGTCTGTTCTATTTTCTTATGTGGATGTGAGACATAATCATTAAAAGTAGAAGGTATGCAATGGTTACAAGTTTTTGATCACAGGTATCTTCTTCGTATTACTCGCGTGTGGTGGAAGCACCATGTAACCACGCCACAGCTTCTCATTAGAAATTCAGCATATCTATCTCGAAGTTTCTCAGTAATGAGCTCTACACAGTAATTTTAGTTCAACGTCGAAAGGGATTTAATTTCAAGGTAATATTCATTATAGACTGACATCCATTAGAGCACTCATTAGTGATATGCTTCAAAATAGATATCCCAAAGTTCTAATGAGAAACCGTGACCTGTGGCGTCAACCAGTCGGAAGTGAAGTGGATGCAAACTAATAACCTTAGTAGTTAGTCGCACTTTATCACAAATTGATAGAAGTAGGATACTGTGGACCATTGAGCTTTAACGCGTTCTCCACGAAACCTGCAGTTTGTAATTGGGCTCCCGGGCAAAGTTGTAGGTACGTGCAACTGAGGATTCCAATAACAGGACGAAACAGGTGTTTATTGCTTCCAGATTTTCAATAGTTCTCTAAATGATGTCAGTCTGTGGTGGATACTATCTTGAAATAAGATCTCCACAAACCTGTAACCACATTTTATTTACTCGTTACATTCATCCTCCATGGCGGTCAACTCTCTACTTCACCTCAACTTCATCGACTTTGAGAAGGCCTTTGACAGCGTCAACCGAGAGGTAATTTGGAAACTGCTTCATTACTACGGAGTACCGCAAACCTTTATCAGCCTCATTCAACAACTATATGAAGACGCCACATACCAGCCAAGTAATTCACAATGGGAAGCTCAGTGATGCTTTTAAAGTGAAGACAGGAGTGAAACAAGGTTGCCTACTATCCCCCATGATATTCCTGATTGTGGTCGACTGGACTGGATCATGCAGCAAACAGTGGGCAGCGAGAAAAGGTGGATACTCTGGACTGCGGAAAAGAACCTAGAAGACTTGGATTTCGCCAGCGATGACTTGTGCCTGATGTCACACAAACTTGAAGATGTACAGGCAAAAGCTAGCAAGTTGATAGAAGAGGCAGCGAAGACGGGACTTCAAGTGAATATAGAGAAGACAGAAATGATGAAGATACCGCACCACCAACAACAACAACAAACTCCAATCACCGTCAACGGGAGAAACTTAAAGGAAGTAACTTCCTTCACCTATCTCGGAAGTACTGTTTCAACTACAGGTGGCGGGACAGACGAGGATGTCAAAGTCAGAATCGGAAAAGCAAGACAGGTGTTCATTAGCCTGAAACCAGTGTGGAGATCTTCTGCACTCAGCATAAAGTGTGAACAAGATCCTGATTTTCAACACCAGTGTCAAGTTAGTGCTTCTAAGTGATGGCTGAGAGACTTGGCGCGTTACAAAAGGGATTTCCAATAAACTACAGACATTCATCAACAACTGCTTACGCTCGCTACTGAAGATCAGATGGCCAGAATAATGAGAATAAGCAACAAGGAGCTCTGGGAACGAACCAACCAAGAACCTATCAGGCAACAAATATGCAGTGGAAGGAAGTGGAGATGGATTGGGCATACACTGAGAAGGCTGAATGCGGACATCACGCGTCAGGCCAGTTGCTCGAGTGGAATCCCCATGGGAAGCGACTAGTTGGACGTCCGAGGGTGACATGGAGGAGATCGTGTGAGGAGGAAATGAGAGCTTGTGGGCTGTCATGGAGCCAGGTTGAAAAGATTTCAGAGAACAGAGTAGGATGGAGACGTGCTACTGGGGCCCTATGTTACATTAGGAACCCAGGGGACTAATATAATATATAACATTCATCCTCCAGTATTACACAACCTAATTATCCTTTTCCAAGCTCTGACCTACTTTATCTATCTGAACACCTGTTTACGTTGTCATACCATTCTCAACATTCATGTTATCTCGTATATAATCTCTAGTTTCGTCGCTGAACGTCACCGGTAAAGTCTAAAAACAGACTGAAGTGCCAGTAGTTTCATTATTCTAAAGCACACAACTCCCATTCTTGTTATTGTTGAATAACAAATTACTTTGGTTGTTTCATATTATATATATTGAAAGTTATTGTATATTAAAATGAAGGTTGAAGAGATTTAATTGAAAACAATTTTGTTCAATTACATGTCTTGTTAGGAAGTAATTTTGTAACTGTTACGTCAGTGATCAGAAATTACTGTCATAACATTTAGGAAATTGCTGATCAGAATAAATACTTGAACTTAACACTTGATTTGACTTCAAAACCTGGCCTAACTGACTAGTTATGATATGAACGTGACTATTCCAAATACGCATTTGAACTAATAAAGTTTTGGAGGCTTTGGCAACGACTAATTATCATTACTGTACCGCTCAAACGCCAAGACATCTGTCAGGAGGTCTTAAAAACCTCATACGTCATATTTTCTAAATATTTATCTAGTAATCACGTAGGTCATATATTATTTTATCAAATTTTAAGAAAAATGTGAGTATCAAGATAACGACCTTTCACCATTGTCATTGCCTTTGAATCTCCACTAACTGGATGCATGTCGAAAACTAAAACTACCTGCCAACTATGAAGCGTATAAATATCCCAAGATAGTCAGATTGTAGAAAGTTGTTATTCATCGAAGACTGACATCAGTTGGAGGAACAAAGGAAACCTGGGAGCACTGGACAGCTGTTTCGTCCTAGTATGGGACTCCTCAGCAGTGCGCACCCACGACCCCACCAGCAGGGATCGAACCCGCGACCTTCAGGTTCCGCGACCAGCGCGTTACCATTGAGCCACTGGGTCAGAATCCAATGCTCCATATTTCCAACTTCTGTTAGCTCACGATATAGCGCAGACCGCCACCCAATGTCATCGTTGAGTATTTGTCCTCACGGCCATCAGGCTTTGACTCCACCGGTCACGACTTGTCATTGGAACTTCGGGAATACTTCTCGAAGCTAGTCACCAACGAGCACTAGTTCAATTAAATTTTGAGGGGACGAAACAGCTGTCCAGTGCTCCCAGGTTTCCTTTGTTCCTCCAACTGATGTCAGTCTTCGATGAATAACAACTTGAAATAATTCCAAATCTCCACAACCCCTCAAAATTTAGATTGTAGAAAGGTAGGAAAGAAGACGGTTGGATATTTAGAAGGGATTTAGCTGAGATAACGTGACTTTAAACTATTTATCAGATGGCCAATGACCAATCAAGGATGATAGGAAGGTCTATAATCAGCTAATATGTGCTTATAATTAGACATGAGACTGTTTTTCTCTCCTTTAGGATAGGTCAGGTTCCTTTTTGTGTGAAAAATCTGTATATTAGTTAAGCAGAATGTTATTAACCAGTAACCATGGTTTCAGTTTGTATATTCTTGTTGACATTTTGTAAAATGGCTCATTTACAAACCTAAGGAACATCATGGTTCGTCAAATCTTTAAATCTGCATTGATGATGTAAATTAACTATCTCGTGTTAACTTATGTTCATACATTGGCTGATGATTGGAGATATTTTCGGTCAGTGACTGAGTTGTCAGATTAATTTGCTGTAAAAAGCCTTTTTATTCCGCTATTTTATGTTGTGGAGCTGTGGCTCATTGTTTTAGTTAGTTGATTTTCAAAAAGTGGATCGCGGGTTGTAACACCAATCCACCTGGTGAGGTTTCAAGAGCCAGGTAGTACTATTAGTCCTCACATAATATATATGGATCATTTCTTACTACACAAATTTGCATAATGTTAGTGTGTTTCTCCTTTTTCTGTTGAAATGATGGCTAATTCTGTGAACTTCATTTTCTATTCCATAGGTGAATTAATCAGTCGAGCTTGTGTTCCGGGTATACTGAATAAAGCTTATGATCATATTGGAACAAACCCTTTAAATTTGTGTGAATTATGCACAGGTGGGAATGCTGATCGATGTCATCGAGACAACTTGGAATTGTATTATGGAGATGCCGGTGCTTTCAGATGCTTAACAGAAGGAGGAGATATAGCATTTGCTCGTCATACAACAGTTCATACAAACACAGGTGGAAGGTGAGCTACACAAGATTCAAATCTTTTTTGTGAGGTTTCTGGCTAGAAAGAAAATGTTAGTTGGATGGAGACAGTCGGTAGGAAGGCCTGGACCTAGGTTTCATGCTTGCTCACACTAGTTAGCAAGGTGTATCTACAACCCCGACAGAACTGATATCTCGCCTGAAATCTAAACTCCCGTCACCAAGTATTGCAGTCAGCGACGTTACCACTGAGCTATTTGGGGCGCTGCTAACTTCCTGTAGGGCTAGATTAGATATATTGATTGGTCGCTGGCGGGTAATCAACTTCAGTCAGGTCCCGCAACGAGCACTCTACTGTTAAGCCACATGGTTAGAGTTATTTGATTCACTTTTCTTTCATCTTCTGTCAATTTTTGATATAATACAATTAATGTCAGTTCTCGATGAATATGAAAGTGTTTTGATAAACACACTGTCAGTTAATCTGTAAGCTCAGAAGTCATCACTAGTCTGTTGGAATTTAGAGTCAAAGGTACTTTAAATTGTGTTGAAATTATACAACTATTTCAAGGTTATCAATGTTTATTATCACCATATTCTTTAACCGATTGCATAGTTTTGTTTACGGTCGTTTCGTTTATACTTGTGTCCTAATCTGATTTGGTTAAGTATAGTAAAACAAAAACTTTGGATTTAGCCCAATCGTTCAATGTTTGTCAACACAACAATGAGTTTTTATTTGGGAGGCAAGGAATTATTGTTGTCATCCTTAGTAAGGGGCTTATTTTTGTTCATTGACTGGAATTCCAGTGAAAATTATCATTGTATTATGTATGATGAAAGGTCTTCATTTTGGTTAATGGGTGAATCACGATTCACTGGAAACTGCGAGCTGAATTAAATCCTGTTAAAGTAGGAGTATACTGAGCTGCAGTCAGCTCTGTCCCATTACATGACTGCGAGAAATGGCTGAAGAGATAAGAAGTTTGCCAATACAGATGTTGTCTTAGCATTACTCACATACGATGGAATCAACTTTTCAGCAATACAGAGATTAGGCGAAGAGTACAAGACATGAAAGGAAGCTTGGTCGATGGGATTGTGAATCTTCTTTCACTTAGGTGGATTGGACATTCGTAGTGCATGCCGGGTCACCGCCTACACCAGCATGTAATGCTAAACGAAGTAGAATTAGGTTGGAAAAAGGCTCATGGTAGTCAAACGTGGGATAAATCTATGGAGTTTCTGACTTATGGTCTGACCCATGTATGAAGCCATATACTACCTAGTTGAGGTCCTCGAGATGATGTGAATAAATGGTTGGAAACCTTCGATGAAATGACTAAAAACCAGTCACAATAGCTTAAATGTATTCAATTTTCGACGTTTCCGCTTCTTTTGATTCTGAAATTCTTTCTCTTGCTGTACACTCTTCTCTGTTTTGGAATCATCAATTTTTTTTTCGATTCATTTATTGTCTGTATTTTTTTGTGAATTGTGGCAATTTGAACCTATGAACTTTTATGCTTGGTTCCACATTTTGTTAGTCTAAAGACAAGGCTTTGATATTCAACATTGACTATATAAATATATGCTGTTTTGTTCTATGTGAACCCACTGTATTTATTTTACTTGAAGACCATATCGTGTACAATAAACTAATGAAAATATACCATCCATATATTGTTGTTCTCAAAAGTTGTAATTAAGTAAACACCAGTATAAAAAGTGAATTTCCGCTCATAGACCTTAGTGACAGTGATTTATTTAGTTTTAATAAAATCACACAACTTAGTCATGTGATATTCAGAGTTTCACGTGGAAATTCAAAGAACACCTAATATGGTAGACACAAATGAATATCTAACTCAACTCTATGTGTAGTAAAGGGATCTCCCTTACTGACTGAAGTGTTTGCTTTAAGATTACAAACTCATTTCTTGTAGTATAATTCTCAATATATTCTTGTCTAGTAAGTTAAGGTATCTAAAGATTGAAACTGCAGAGTATTAAAGCTTACTAGCTCACTAGTTTAATAGCTGGTCGTAAGCTCGGATAAAGAGGGAAGGTTGGGCATAGGGTTAGCAACCCTACCCCGGAAAACTAATTCAGTCGCTAAAGAAACTTCAAAGCACAAAAAAATATAAAAACAAACTTATTCCTCGTTGGAATCGGGGAGACGAAATGACGCCAGTTGATGAAAGCCTTCGGGAAGCCGATTGGCCGATGTGTCTTCTCTCGATGTAAGCAAAACTAAGCACACAGGCATGGAATGTCTACACGATGTTCAAAGTTAAGAAGGCTACCCAAAAGAGATGAGGAGGTATAGCAAAGAAGTGCTAGGAATCTACGAGGAATCTGTAGATGGAATGGAAGTGGACTCTCGAAACTGTTAACTACAGAGTCAATAATCCACTCCGATTTCGTCACCCAGACGACAACCACGAACACACTGAGGTTTCGAGTGGCTATCATGATGCTCCCTCCCAAGAGCATCGAAGACTCACTCTCATGCAAGATCACGACCATGACAGCAAGATGAATTCAATCCAAAAGGAAGGGAAGTCATAATCATTCAATGCTACGCTACAGACCTACAAATAATGAGGATGAAGAGAAGAAGGAGGAATTCGATAGACAATTGCAATCAGTAATGGACAAGACCCCACTGCAGTTGGCGACATCAAAATTCATTCTAATGGTTGGGGTGGCATGAATACGAAACTGGGAGTGGACAACACAGGAAGAGAACTCATCATGGATCGAGAGGCAGTTGGTGAGAACTGTTTGTAGACTCGTCCAGAAATACCACCGTCAACGGCAGAACTACCAGTGAACACAGGCTTTCTAAAAAAGCAGAAGCAAAGTCCTGAACGCCATAAAGTTGCTGGGATCTGGCAAAGCAGCAGGACAAGATGGAATTCCTCCAGAAGCACTGAAAGTAGATGCAGACACATCAGCAGCGGACATACACCACTATTGCAGAAGGTTTACAAGGAGGGTAGGAAGGAAAGGTACCTGCCCATTATTTGGAAAAAGGACTACCTTGTCAAACTCGCAATTAAAGGTGAAGTAATCTGAGTCTTTGCAAGAACTGGCGCGGAATCATGCTCCTGTCCATCCCAAGCAAAATGTTAAGTCACATCATCCTGGAGAGACTGAAAAATGCTCTGGATTCAAAATTACCAAGGGGACAGGCTGGTTGGATTCAGGAAGAATAAATCATGTGCATATCAAATTGCAACGCTGCGCATCCTCATGTAAGAGAGCATAAAATACTAGTGAAATATTTACCTCAACTTCATCGAGTTTAAAAAGGCTTTCGATCAAGGAATCGCCCGAGAAGCGATTCGGAAACTGCTTCGACACTACGCTTTTAGTGCCACAAACCGTTATCAACCTCATTTAACAGCAGCCATATGCTATATGATGCTACATGCCAAGTAATTCACAATGCGAAGCTCGGTGATGTCTTTGAAATGAAGGCAGGAATAAGACAAGGCAGCCGCCTACTATCACCGATGATCTTCCTGATTGTGGTCGACTGGACTGGACTGGATCATGCAGTGAACCGTGAGGAGCGAGAAGATGGGCATACGCTGGCTGGACCGATGAAAGGAGCCTAGAAGATTTGGATTTCGCCTATGATGATTTCTGTCTAATGTCGCACCAAAAGTTTACAGAAGAGATGAGGCAGCGAAAACGGGAATTCAAGTGAACGTGGAGAAGACACACGTGACGGATATACCCAACCAACGCCACTACCAACAAAAACAAGCTCCAATCACCATCAACAGGAGAAACTTAGAGGAAGTAGTCTCTTTCACATACCTACCTAGACAACATCGTTTCAACTACAGGCGGCGATGATGGCGGCACAGACGACGATGACAAGACCGGGATCGGGACGGCAGCAAGACAGGCCTTCCTTCAATCATCATCATCATCATTATCAACAAAGGGACCAGGCATTACTGCGTAACGGTCCGAGTTGCCACACCTCATATCAGCACATCAAGTAAAAAGGTAGTGAGGCGAAGGATGAAGATAAGTGAATGCAGTCAAAAGAAATATAAAGTACGAGAAGAAAGGAAAGAGGAGTGACAAAATGGTGAGATTCGGTGAGGCGTTGTTAAGATGAGGATAATGTGTGTATACATCTGCGCCACTGACATCGGTTCTGAGCCATATCACCTAGGGTCTCCAACCACTGGTTCCTCTTGTCCTTCCTTCAATAATCTGAAATCAGTGTGGAGATCTGCTGCACTTCACTGAGTTCAGCATAAAGAAGAAGATTCGGATTTTCAACACCAATGTCAGTCAAGTCAGTGCTCCCATATGATGGTTGGGAAACTTGGCGCGTTAGGAAAAGCATTTCCAACGGACTACAGATATACATCGTCGACAGCTGCCACCTACACTCGCTTGATACTGAAGATCATATCAGATCAGATGGACGGAAAGAATAAGTATGGAGGAACTCTGACTGGCAACGAACCATCCAATAACCTATCGTGCAACAAATATGCAGAAGAAAGTGGAGATGGATTGGATTGGACATACACTGAGAAGATTATAGTGGGACATCGCGTGCCATGCCATGCCGTCGAGTGGCAGTTGAGTGGGAAACGATGAGTTTGGCGTGTGAGGGTGATATGGAGGAGATGGTGTGAGGAAGGAATGAAAGGTAATGGGCAGTTGTGGAGTTAGGTTGAAAAGACTGTAGAGAAGAGAGTGGAATGGATAAGTGCTGCTGAATCCCTATTTTCCAATAGGAACTCAAGGGACAAATAATAATATTGCTTGTTAGTATATTTCGTTAAACTGAACACGAAATCTTATTGATAATCGAATCAAAAGTTGCTGATTGCATGAACTTCATCAGCTTGAAAGAGTCTAGACAGAGTCTAGTCGCAACATGAGAAATGTGAAATCGAGTCAGCGACAGAATCGACATCCAATGACATAATTGTAAGACGAAGCGATCAGTTTTAAAGTAGGTCTTGTCTAATAGTAGGTGATGACAATATGACACGTTTCTGCATCAAAATGAAATGACCAAGTTGAAATTGAAATCCGCTTATTTCCATTTACGAGTTTAATGTACATGTTATACTGTATAGGTTGTCATTGGATTGTTACACTTCACAGCATTATCAGTGACTGCCCCAACTAATACAAACATTTTTCGTACAGAAATAGGTGAAAATGTAACTTTATGCAAGATGTTTAAGATGGAAAATAGGATGGATTATGTATGAAATACTACACAATGTTTACTAAATATGCAACTGTTAAGTAAGTAGACTTTCGTAATTTTTCTTTTTACAGTTTAAATAAATCAAAATGTATCACAAAACTGTTAATTGAATTATTTTCTGATTCTAGGAACCCAAATTTTTGGGCACGTGATCTACGTGAAGATAATTATGAATTATTGTGTCCAGATGGAAGACGGGCTGAAATTCATGATTGGTTAACTTGTAATTTAGGAAAAATTCCCAGCAATGTTGTAGTTACTGCAAGCTATAAATCTGAAAATGAAAGAACTAATATGTGGCGTCTTTTACAATATGGTCAAGAATATTATTCCGCTGACAGGTGAGTATCTAAATGTTAGCGAGTTTGTAAGCAATCGACAGGAAGCCTAGCTTGTACTTGTTGGTCCTTGTCAGCAAAGCGTGTCTGTGACCTCGGACGCAGTGACGTCCCATAGGGTATTCGAACTTGTATCACTCAGTACTGTAGTTAGAGACGTTGCCACTGAGCTATCCCAAACACGACTGATCTCCTGTAGGACTGTATTAGATTATATAATTGGTTGCTGGAGAGCGGGAGACTCCATTTTATGTACTCGTGAGTGCTGATCAGATTCTGTTAGTCATTTTACAGTGTAGTCATTAAGATAGGAGATTTACCATGATGGTGCACTTTGATATATAGTAGTTTCTTGGTGACAATCGGCAAGAAGCTACAGACCTAGTTTTTGTGCTTGCTGGGACTTATCATAACAGCAAAGCGTATCTGTAGCTTCGTGTGAATAGAAGTCCTCTTCCAGGATTGGCCTTTTCTTTAAATAACCATATCTTATGGAATTAGAAATATGCTGAAATAGGAATCAACTTAACAGTCTCTACAAGTGTGTGATTGGTTGTAATTCAATACCTCATGAATGTTGGGAAATAATATATCTAAAAGAACTAAACAGTGTGTATCGATATTGACTCATGGACTGGGTTATCGAAGCTTCAACCTAGCCGCCGTAAGTCAAAGGTAATGTTTTTATCACTGAACTTATTCATTTAGTGATAAGACGTCTATGAGTAGAAAGCAAAAATTGCGTATATTAAACTGTTTGAATTGTTTTAACGGAATTCTCTAGAGTCTTCAAAACCTGGATTCATTACAGGGATCCATTTCCACTGATGAGTTGCACTCACACCTTTCAATACAACTACCGAAACATCTTCCAGATAGTATTACGTTTCACTTCTGTCCACCGATAGATTGCGAGTGAAGAATACCATCAAACTAACTGTTTCCTTTATTTATCAAACCCAGACCGTCTTCGATTAGACCAAAATGATCGTCCCCTAATCGCATATGAGCCCCTGTGCGGGTGCCTCGGTATAACCGGTAGTTTCACTTTCATGGTAATGACGAATAGTGTTTATTATTGGGATCTAGGACGTGC